GAATATTCCGAAGAACGGTTACACATTAAATCGTATAGTTGCGTCTATTATATCACCACTTAACAGCCTTTTTCCGCTCCTAAATGTTTGGGTAAGATCATAAAACTTAGATAAAGAAACGATTGTATTTTCCACAGGCTCAAAACTGATTTCCTTATTTCCCACGCAGTCCCTTTTTGAAATGAGCACATTTTAGTATTGTATAATTTAGTCTTAGCTAGAGGGTTGAACCAGGGGGGTCCAAGTAGCTAGTTAATAAACTCGCCACTTTTACAAATTGCTGCCACAACAACAACACCAGGCTAGCTCAACCTACCAAATTAACAAAAAAAAATATGTGTGTATATGTGTGTGTACTTTTTAATATATATATATATATATATAAATAATTTTAAATTTATGAAATAAATTATAAATGATTTTTAAATTTATGAAATAAATTATAAATGATTTTTAAATTTACCAAATATATTTATTATTTTTAGTTAATACATTCAAAAATAGTAATTAACAAATTGTCTTATATATATAGGCCTCTCCAGCATTCTGAACGAACTCCTTCTTCAGATGTTCCACGTTTTCCTCTGTTTCAAATCTCGAATCTACGGAATAAACATATATTAATAGTAATTAAGTTAAACTTTTCAAACTATAAAATAATTATCAATAACTGCATCATTCATAAGATTTTCTGTCAACATTGGATAATCGTACTTTAAGAACTTCAGTCTCTTTCTGTACTTTTCAGGAAAATGAAAATTGCATACTTTCTTAGCTTTCCTTATATACTGATTGTCCATATCTTTCAGTGAATCGTTACTTGTAGCAACTTTACAAATAACAAAGAATCAATAGGTGGAAATAATCTCAACCCTATTTTGTCTCCTTGTTTTGTAAAACATTCTTCAACGCAGCAAGTATAAACCATCCTAATATAGAACGTGCATTAATTGTACATACATAGTTATGGGTTGAACTGAGAGGTTGGTCTTACTTGGAGAGTCCAAGGAAGAGCACTTACTTCTTAAATACTAACTTAAGAGAAGAATGTAACACTTAGTAATAATCCATCAGATCAACTATTATATAGTTGAATTCTCAATAAAAATTCCGATGTGTATAATAACACTAATTAAGAATATTGCATTTAATATTCATAAATCCCTCCGCAATGACATAACTACGAGATAATCCACAGTGTCCAGAGATAGTCTTAATCCCGATACACGACACCTTATTTACCTGTACTTCGGACCATAACTCGCATTTTTTTTACATAGAAAAATCGACTCAAAATTTGCGTTTTGTATGGTGCAAATGTAATAAAATATTATTTTCCAAAAATTGTCCCATAAATTTGGAATATGATTATTCTTAAGATCCTAAAAATACAGTAATGTAATGTATAATTTAATATTGTCATTAGTTGAAAAAAAAAAATGTTCTTTTCAACAAATGAAACTAAATTTTTTTTAATTAATTATTTAGGTTTATGTTCAAACACTAAAGAAATAAATTTCACATTGAAAGCAGTAACAAAGTAGTAATTTCTGTTTTATTAGTAAATATTTCATATAATTAGAGAACGTTTAAACAAACGTATAAAATATAATTAATGAGAAGAACGTACAAAGTGAATTCACGAAAGCTACAATTATGAATATTACCGTATCATATATAAAAACAAAGCACGCATCTAATGGTGCATTCGTATAATTCTATTAGAAAAAGAAACTCGAATAAACATGAATCCTGAAGAGAATATAGAATTGTGCGTATTTTCTAAAAGAATTCTAAGATATTTTCAATATTGGAGCATAACTGATATGACAAAATTTAAATATTTGAGAGCTTTCATGTCATCATTGTTTACTTACACGCTTAGTATGGGAATGATATGGAATATTTTCAAAAAATTAGGCAAGTCGTAATTATATTCTTCTTATTTTTTTAATTTTTCAATATCTGTGAATTTTTAGAAAAGGACAAGTTCGATTTCGTTGCGATCGGTGAAGAGCTTGCATGTTCAATGGCTCAATCGATGATGATGTTTTTGTTCTACAGACACGTGAATTACCACAAAGAATTGGAGAAGGTGCTTTTCGCATTGGGTGATTTCAGTGTTTACGAGAAACCAATTGGAATTGATAAATTGAATAAAAACGTAGAAATGATCATCAAATGGTCCACCGTCATTTGCAGCATCTCTTTGTCATCCGTATGGTTGTATTCCATGTTGATGCACTGCGAGGACTACGTTGAAGATAGCTGCGGCCTCATGCTTCCTGCCTATTTTCCAATCAACGTTTACGAGAGGAATGGAAGACGAATTGTGGCAACTACTCAGGTCTTCTTTACGATTCACGGTTCTCAGGGTGCCTGCCTCATTGCCTGCACCGGCATATCACCTTCCGAGTTTTTAAGCAACAGAATCATGCACATGGTTCACATGATTCAGCAGATCAAACAGATCGAAGGTCGTCCGAAGAGAAAAGAACACCTGAAGAAAATTGTTCAATTTCATCAGAATATTATATAGTTCAGTTTAACGGCTCAAACAATTTGCTAGAACTCTATACATATTTTTTTTTTTTAGTATATGGGAGAAATATTGCGGATTGGTTAATCCCAGTTTATTAGTTCTTTACATCTGTGCACCGATCGTCATGAGCACAATTGTCCTTCAATTTTTCTACGTGATTATTATTATTTTTGTATTTTATGTAATCTCTCCTACTATTCTATATTCCTTTGCAGACAATATCGTTGCTCAACATAGTACACTTTTGGAATTGGCTCGGTGTCACCTTTTTTGCTGCTCTTATTGGTGAAAATATTTGTACTTCTGTAAATTAGCAATTCTAATTAAATTCAGCTACTTTTTAAATAAGTCTTTTCAGTCCGAGAAGTTAATTGAGGCTATTTATGAATGTATTCCTTTCGACGGAGATGTGGACACTCAGAAAGATATGATGCTGATTCTAATTCGATCGCAGAGGGAATTGTATTTACCGTGCGGAAAATTCACGAAAATCAATTTTATGCTTTTCATGAGTGTACGGCTCGAACACTTACATCTATGCAATTGAATTTAATACATGTTTATTTTGTTTTAGGTAACGAAATCTATTTATACTTGCTTGACCATCATAAGAAAGCCTTAAAATTATCACATGACTAAATAATATTAATATTCAATCTACAAATAACAGAAGTTAACTAAGCACTTAAATTGCAGTTTCTTGCTTTCTTGTTATTTAGGCATTAATTGTTTTAAAGTTAATATACACTATTTTTCAGCTGTTGTAGCAAAATCTCAATTGCATTAAAAATCACAATAACTGCAATTCCAGAAATATTAATTATTAATTTTTGTATAACAGAAATATTAATAATAAATACGGAAAGATTGCTGTCACTTGCATTATGTATGTTGATATACAATAAATTATAATAAAATATTCTCCAAATGCTTTTTTATTATTTGTTTTATATTATTTATTTATAATAAATAAATTTCATAAAGTTGTAAATCGTCTAAACCAAACACTTGATTTTATGGTTTAAACGAAAGTAATAACAATCAATCAATTTATATAAATTTATGATAATAAATTTATATTAAAAATATTTATAATAAATCCAAATACCAATGAACATGATTAAAATTGTCAATGAAAACAGTTTTTCTTCATTTACCTATAATTGTATCACAAAAAAAAATTATTGCGTTTTATGGTCAAAATGTAATAAAATATTATTCTCCAAAAATTTTCCATACATTTGTAGTACGTTTTATCATACGATAAGGTCCTTAAAATACGGTAATGTAAAGTATAGTTGACAGAAGATGTTATTTTCAAGAAATACAAATGAAATTATTTTTATTAATTATGTAGGTTTATGTTCAAACACTAAAAAAGAAATAAGTTTCTCGTTGAAAACAGTAACAAAGTAGTAATTTCTCTTTTATTAGTAAATATTTCATATAATTATAGAACGTTTAAACAAACGTATAAAAAATAATTAATGAGAAGAATGGACAAAGTGAATTCACGAAAGCTACAATTATGAATATTACCGTATTCTATATTAAAGCAAAGCACATGGTGATGCATACGCATAAATAAAGTGACCATATTTCCCGTTTTGAACGTCTGTCCCGTTTTTAGAAAAAGAGCTGAAGAGTGTCTTCTTTGAAGAAATAAAAAATAAATGAATGGGCAAATTTATCTAAATTATCTAAGTGCGAAGAAATTCAAAGTGTAATGTATGAATTGATTGAAAAATGATTTATTGATTCTAAATACACAGAAGCAATACATTGAAAGTGTCTTTTCCCCTATAAATAAGTTACGGATAAGCAAAAAAATACAACTGAAAGTCCCAGTTTTAAAGCCATGTTACTTACGAAAGTAAATTTTCAGAATTCTTGCCAAGAATTTCATTCCTATTTAAAATCCAAATATACAAGTTCAATTTTGGCATATAATAATGATGTATTTATTCTTCAGACACTTGAGTTATTAATACACTTTTTCTTTTAGTTTATGGGAAAAATACAGTGGTTTAGTTAATTATAGTTTAATAATTCTTCACATCAGCGCTCCGATCGTTATGAGCTCAATTGTTTACCAATTGCAGAAATTGGCATGTAGCACATTCTTTTTTCACTTTTTTATAATATAATAATAAAATTCTATTGATTATATTATATAACTGTCCAATTTTAAGAGAAAATAAGGTGCAAAATATAGTGCAGGAAATACAAGTAATATCATAAAAGAAGTTACAGCTATTAGTTGCATACTTTGGACTCATATTTGTAAATATTAAAGAAAGTTTTCATAGAAAAAATAAGTAATAAATTAGATAATTGCGTACACTAGTATTTAATAGAATTGCTGAATATTCAATTATATAATACTTTGTCCTATTGATTCTTAATGAGTTAATTTCAACCTACATAAAATTACCTTTTGAAGTAAACTGCTTTTGATTTATATTCTATCATAAATCAACATCATGAAAGTGTACATGCTTTTGATGAGCTAGAAACGGAGAGAATGAGAAGATTGTAAAAGATTATTTCGTTAATTTGCAATTCAATTTACGCTCATTAGAAGCAAATGGCCACAGCAACCCATTAAACCGGCGGAGATCGCGTGCGGTCTGGACGAACGGATCATCAGCATATGCATGGACTTCTGAGTTCTCACGTCTCCGTCCCATGGGATATTTGGGAAAATGCCGTCGTGTAAATCGGAGCTCTACGAAACGTTTACAAATCTACGTATTAAATCCTTATAATTCACACTCACCGCATTGATCAGCCGTTGCCCGATGAAGCAAATCAGACAAAGGTTGTTTGCCCATGAAAGGGCGTGAGCGAAATGAGTGTAGTTAAATTTCTAAACCAAAAAACAATACAATTACATTATGCAACCTAAAAGTAAATAAATAGGTACCAATAGTAATTGAATCATAATAAAAGTGAAGATAATAATGGATATGGGCATTTGTATAGTAAACAGCGAAGAAGTAGCGTCTTTCAATTTATCTGAAATTCTGAAGAAAAGAGAAAATAACCCAAAATATTGAGTTTTTTTTTTATAATCTTACTCGATAATTTTGTAATGGTATAGTATGATTTTTTTCAAATGCGCGTGTCGCCCTTCCACCATTCCAGGCACTTGCTTAATCATGGAAAGCAAATGGTGAATGCGATTGATGGTAAGTTCCGATATGAAGATGATGGTAAGAAAACTGAAGGTGACAAGGTATATCCCGACGCATCCTCCGTAGACTTGGTAGACCATGACCATAGTTTTCTTTGATCTACTACGTAAATCGAAGAATGGTAACCAAAAGTTGACCATCAAACCGCAATCATCAACAATACCCTCTTCGCATTTCATCATATATAAGACTGAGGTTACGCAGAAGAACGAAATTATGACCCAAACGGAGAAGATTCTAATCACCATATCTAGTTTCTTGTTAAGCTCATCAACGCCGCGCGGTTTTTCGTAAACCGAAAAATCACCCAATTCCTTGAACAAAACATTGTACACGTTGTAGTGTCTGACGAAGTTGAAAACGACGTTGTAAACGCCAAAAATCGAAGATATCCCAGAGAAGTCATCGCTTATATTCACGTACTTAAACATATCATTGTCTAAAAATATATATATATATTTCAAAGATTATTTATTATTTGAAGTGCACTTACTGTATGAGTAATAGATGTGACCCATCATACCCATCATCACTATAGCGATGCTTGTTAAACGGAAAACGCATCGACAGTAGAAAAGAAAATTCTGATTGGTTGTTGGCCAAATGTCGACAATCTTCATTCCCTTTATCAAATCTCTGCAGACGATTATTTTCTGCTGCGACTCCATGCTTCCTCCACCGATCAATGATCAAATCAAGGGAATAATTCGTAATCCAATTTTATATGGTCTTTGATCAATCATTACTTCCATTCAAGGTACCCATTATGCAATCATATACTTACTATCAATTAAATTTAATTTGAAAGCAAAAAGTTACAGAATTGAGTTCATTGATTACAAATAGCTTAATTTCTGTTAACGTTTTTAATATTCAATAATTGATCTCATTATCAAAAACGCAATACATTTTATCGTTCCAAGAATTATTATTCTGTAATTACATAATATATCATCTTTTAAACTAAAATTATTTAAAATAAATACTTAATAGTAAAATAAGTCAATTTCGTTTCAAAAACCTTTAAAGATATATCCCGAATAGTAAGCTAATAGCAATTTATTAATTAATAGAAATGTTATAGTAGACATGAAATTGAGTTTACCAAACAACTTTTTAATTTGGTTAAGTGTTCCTTTGTTGCATTTAATGAGGATGTGCAGCTGCGTGTCCGGTGAACATATATATATGTATATACATAGAGATGTATGTCGAAGTTGTAGAGCGTGACAAAGGGCCGATGCAATGGATCGAAATTCATGGAATTGCCCAGCAACAAGTTGCAAGCATTCCACGCAGAAGTTATGCAATTAATGGATTTACATTTTATTTTGTTTCTCAAAAAGTTATAAAGGTAAAATAGATATTTAGAAAAAAAAAATAGGTTTTAATATACGTATTTCGAGATTTATATCTATTATCATTTTGCTGAAATAAGCTGTCAAATTTGAAAAGCAGTGTCCTCACGTTCTATGTTTTTACTCAATAAACAAGTATTCTAATGACAAACTGAATACTACAATTAAAGCCAGATATATAAACTTCGTGTCTATATCGCAAGCCCGACAACCGAAAGACCGTCTATTGAAATCCCGACTGTATCGAAATTCCAAAGTTCGGAATAATTTAAAAATGTTATTGTAGACATTTTCGATATAGTCGGGATTTTGATACAGTCGGGATTATGGTTGTCGGGATTTCTATACAGTCAGGATTTCGAACGTCGGAATTTCGATAAATTTCAAACGTCGGGATCTCAAACGTCGAGAATTTGATTGACGGTATTTCGGTTGTCGGGTTTACGATTGCCACCGATAAGCCTCAATATACTTGTACTTCTAGCTTTGTACTCAACATTATTTTACTATAATAACTTTAAAATATAACGTTTTAAATTTATCATATTATTCAAAAACCAAGCATTCTAATTGCAAACAAAAAATCTGCAATTAAAGTTAGATATATAAGTTTCAATTTGCTTGTACTTCCAGCTTTGTACCTATTACGATTTTTCTTTAATAAATTTGAAAAAAATATCTAAGCAATTTCTTCAAATTTTATCATAAAAATCGTTCACTATCATGCTCAAGTATTAGTCTCCCATAAATTTTCTCCTCCAAATTCCTTTTCCAAGTTGCTTAACTTTATTGTTTGATATTTTTATATAGATAAATTTCGTATCTTTTTACATCTTTTATAAAATAATCTGTTATATTATTTTTCTTCGTGTCTCCACTCTCCTCACTCGGTTTGTGCATTGCACAGTTTCACCAGTCTTCGCTTTAGTGCTCTTAGAAATAAGGACATACAGGTTACATATAACATAGGTAATTAGGTTTCAATTAAATCTGGCTAAATGAGCGACTAGCTCACATATACGCCACCCCTTAACAATTACCATTCTCTGTATTGCATATTTACATAAATAAAAGTCTTTTTCATCGTAAAAATCGTTTAAATTAAAAATTAACTTAACTCTTTTATAAAAATGTATTGTTCTTAACTTTCATGTATCGACAAAAATATAATACATAAAAAAGTCTTTATATATTTTTTTTGTTCCCGACGTTTGAAATCCTGATATTCGAAATCCCGACAACCATAATCCCGACTATATCAAAATCCCGACTATATTAAAATCCCGACAACCATAATCTCGACTGTATCAAAATCCCGACTATATCGAAATGTATACAATAACATTTTTAAATTATTTCGGAGCGTTGTGACTTTTAAATTGCTATTAATAATAAATAATAACAATTAATAATCTAATTTTATTTGAGATTATTTCATAATATTAAGGTTTATTATGAATAATTCAACAAAATCAAATTAATTAATAATAATAAACGTGTAGCACAAGGTGACTAAGATCCGAAATAATTTAAAAATGTTATTGTAAAAATTTTCGATATAATCAAAAAAATTGATATAGTCGGGATTATGGTTATCGAGATTTTGATATAGTCGGGATTTCGATACAATCGGGATTTCAATAGACAGTCTTTCGGTTGTCGGGCTTATATATAGACCCTATAAGATTTTAAAACTTATAATTAATGTCTTCTACGTAATCTAATTAATTTATATGATGATGGTTATTTCTTGTTATAGGCAACTGTACTTGCATTTCAAAAGAGATTTTATTTTTGAAAATGAATCTAACAAAAAAAATAAAGAAAATGTAGGCTTAACAAAAGACCTTATGCATGTTAAATATTCGTTTATTGGCATTATTTTGAATTACATTTGAATCTACATTTGCTAGATTAGTATTTTTTTTAATATTAAGCAATTGTTCGACTTTAAGCTGTTCTAATCACATTGATTCTAATTTTAAACTAGATACAATTCAGATAATAGATATACTGATATTGATAATACATTGTGTTCTCACAATTGAAAAGAATTATTCTACACGAGCTAAACGGACATTTATTTTTATGCTTTGCCTACTTCACGTTTCTTTTTTCAATATAAATACAATTAGCAGCCTCGGCGCACGCCTAAAAATACAACAGCCTTCGCAGAAAAATTACAAAATAAAAATGGGATCGTATCACACCTCAAGACCCAAATTTTTATTTTGAGGTCTCGATATTATCATGACCCGTTCGATACATATCCAATCAAATCGATTCCAGCAAAGCCGTGTCACATTTTTATTTTCTGGTTGCTAATTGTAGCAGCAGCAGTAATGGACAATATAAATATTTATTTTTTCTCCCGCGGACCTGGCAGAAGGACACCCGAGGAAAATTTCGGGCTTATGTAAGAGAAGCGCGAGCTGTGGTCTCATTACCAAGGCCACCTAACCTAGCCAGGCCTCGTCTATTTCGTACATTGATAAATACATTGAAACAAGGCTCAATTTTCGCGACTGATAATTATTTTATCTAAACGTAAATAGGAAACATTCCACAGCCAATTCAATAATCGGTCGCACTTGCACGAGGAGACAACAGTGGACAGAGCAACAAATAATCAACAAACAAACAACGGAAAAGTTTTGTTTTTCTCAATACAATAATAAAAATGTCGCCACCGAGGATCTGGGCCGTGAGCGAAGATGGTAAGCGAACAAACATTCTAAATTCGAACTATCATCGCACGCAAACATTATTTAAATTTTCTTCTGGCTTGAAACAATGACCGACTCAGCTGATTCCTGTCAAAACATTTAACGACTTTGGAATGCAATACATACGTTATATATATATATTCACTTACATTTCTAAATAAAACAATAAACGTACTCATTATTTAACAAATTGCAAATAAATCCTAAATATGTAATAACAAATTAATACAAGTTTTTTTTCTGGTAAAAAAATATAAATAGGTAATATTTAGACTATTGTTAAAATCACTTTTGGTCCTAATAAAAAAATATAACAATTCTATGTAATAATAATATTTCTTTTTAGGAGAATACGATTATGTCTCGCTTTCCCCGAAGACGCTGGAAGGTGGATTGGAGGTGATGAGGAAATCGTTTTTCCTGCACGAAAGCGTAGCTGTTGCAGTGGAGTTGCACAAATATCCTGAGGCCATCAAAGAACTCGAAGAGTTGACTTTGCGCGCCGCTCGGGATGGAGTTTCGCTGGTCACGGTGGAAAGGAAAACGGGCAAAGTTGTCGCTGCCGCCTTCAACAAACTCCAGGTAATATCCACCCATAATTAAACCCATATAATAAACATATATGTTTAATATATTTAGGTACCAGCTATGCCTGGCGAAGATAACTACTTTGAAAAATACGCAGCCAATTGCAAGCAACCGTCGGCGAAGAGTTTGGTCAACTTCATGATCGAATCGGACGCGGAATGCGACCTGTTCAAGCACTGCAACGTCGACTGCCTCCTCGAGATCATGTTCCTGGCCACGCTGCCGGAATACAGAGGTAAAGGATTGGCGAAGAGGCTCTGCGAGATCTCCATCGTCATCGCCAAGCAGCTAGCATCCGGCGTCAACGTGAAGCAATCGCTGAGCGGAGAGAAATTGCCGATCGAACCGGTGCCGCAGATGGTCTCCGCTATCTACACCTCGTACATCACGCAGAAGATAGGCAAGGCGTTGAACTTCACGAAGGCCGTTGAGATCGACTTCAACAGGTGGAGCTTCGATGGTAAAACGTTCGCCGAACGGATCGGACCGAAGACGCCGACCACTACTCTAGAATACTATCGGATATAGAAGTTACATGAAGCTCTGCTGAGTGACGTCTATAGTCATCAGCTCATCCGGATATCCTAGATCGCAGATCGCTTCATCCGGACACAAGGCGTACTTCCTCACGCTCACCAACTTATACTGACCCACAGATCTACTCAACCACTCTAGATCTACAGTGATCACCTTTAATGTTTCAAGCCAATCTAAAAGAATACACAGTTTCAATTAATTAAGCCGATTCGCGTATCAATTATGCTACTCACCTCCGTACAAATTAAACTGCTGCGTGTTACTGCTTTCTGTGACTATCAAGCAAATGTCTCCGTCTTTTTCCAGAAACTCATCAATATACTTAGCCACTTTTCCGCCTAACTTAGTGATAACATTCTGAAACAAATAATATTAATAAGTTATTAATAAATTCATTATTTCCTTAATACCATAGTATTTATTAGAAATCAATCCATTTTAGATATTTTCCAAAATTTTAAATTTTAAATTGATAAAATATTTATCAATTTTGCTTTGTCCATTATCAACAACATTATCTTTTGGATTTATCGACTTTCAAACGAATATATCAAAAAAAACTTCTTTTTTTCGAAATTATAATTACCTCCAGGTCTCCTTTTGTTGTTGAAGTAAATGGAGGTGCAGCGTAGATCTTGAATCCGCGGAAAAGAGGTTTAAGTTTACTGTACAGTCTGGAATCTTTAGGCCCGGGCAGTCCTGAAGAATCCAGTACTTCGTAATGTATCTGTAATTAAAAAAAATATTAAAAATTGTAATCATTTCTGCAGTCAATAAGAGATAATAATTACCTCGGGTATAATTTCATTATGCTTTAAACAATCTATGATCCATTGGTAGTTCAGCACCCAAGCGCCTGAAGCTACAGCGTTAACGTACTTGATGGTATCATCTTTCACCTGATTCTCATCGTTCGTGTTAACAATCATGTGGGTGACTTTCTCGCTGAAGTTCGAACTATAAGTTATCAACTTCTTTTGAGCCATAGCCATTATATTGATGATTTGTTCCTTCACCAGTCTAGTGCAAGCTACGTTGGGCTGCTTCCGCTCAAAGGTAATCTTCTCTTCCTGTTTATTCTTCTTCATAAACGTCTTTAAAGATAACTGGTTACATTGAGCTTTCGGCGTGCTGCACTTCTTCTCAATGAACGACCGGGACATAAAGCGAGGCATTTGCAAGGTCTTATTAGACATCAGGTTTGTAATCGGAGAGAACGCGTCGGATTGTGAAATAATAACCGGAGAATCAATGATGTTACGTTTGGGCGGTGTCGAAGGCACCAGTGTTTTATCCGCTGAATCTTGGAACTCACGTGGTGGAGTGATTGTTCTGTCGATACGCTTATATTTACTCGGAGTGCCTTCTATAACGTCAATTTCGGCATCTGATTGAAACAATTCTTCATCTGATCCGCTTACGACTGTTGCATTTTTACTCTTCACGCTCTCGTCTGATTTGAAATTGGCCATTGCTTCTTCAATCTCATTCTCTTTGTCATCAAAACGATCAACCGATGGAGGTTTATTCAATTTCTTCGTCACACTATCCACCAGCAAGTCGCATTTATTGATAAGATCCTGAATGTTGTCTGATTTTCTGTTACCCTTCTTTTTCGGACTCAACATTTTATTCTTATTCTTCTTCGGTGATTTACGTAGCATACCTTTATCAAATTTCTTCCAAACCTCCTCAACTAAATCCATGTTCACTTCAGAATCTGAAGAGCAGGATAATTGAATTTTAGCCAGTGGACTCCTCGCCTGACTCTGCGTATCGAACTGCACCATTACCTGCTCTTGCATGAAGCGTTTGTTGTTCCTTTTAAATTTGTTCTCATGATCAGATTCAGATTCTGGAGAGGGCGTACGTATACGCTTGAAGTTCTTATTTGAGTTTTCCTGCGCGAAGGACAATCTGCGACTTCGCTTCTTTGGCTGTGTATCAACAGTCAAGAACAGATCATTTTGACTTTGGTTCTGCAAACTTGTTTGTATCAAAGCATTCAGCAATGGATCATCATTAGCTTTGATCGCCGACAATCCAATATTGATCATTTTTCTTTTATTTGCATTAAGAGGCGTCGAATGCATCAATCGATCCGAAGCCCGAGAAAGAGCGTTTTTTATATTCATTGCATCTTCTTCATCATCGTCGTCTGAGAGTACTTGAATATCTTTACTTGTGGACGGTTTCGGCTCCGTCTTAGTATCATCAATAACAATCACAGCTGATTGTAAAACATCAGATTGTTTGCTCAAATTGTCCATAATTTGAGAAATAGACTCTTGCGTCTCTCCTTTTTTCTCATCCTTTTTATTTAGCTCCAGCGTCGTGATATCAAAGTTTTCCATGATTTGCGTTATGCTCTGATGCGTATCCTCAATTTTATGTCGATTTTCCATTTTCTTTGGCGGAGTAAAATCAATATTCTGTAAAATTTTAATTTTTTGGCTTCGTGGCCTACTCACATTCGCTTTAAGCATCTGCTGCGTAGAGTAATTAAAATCTTCTAGGTTTTCGGACAAGGTAATTGTTTCATCTTTTTCATTAGTTTGTACGAAAACTGATTTCATTTCATTGTTTACAGTTTGAATACATTTATCATCAAAATGTCTGTTCTCTCTTACTGCGCAGACTTCACATTTAGTTTTTTGCGTTTGTGTGCATATGTTTGCTACTGAAAGAGCTTCAGTTTGAATTGTACGAGTCTCAGTTTTTACTGCAAGAGCTTCAGTTTGAACTGAACGAGCTTCAGTTTCAACTCTGCGCTCGTCGTGATTAAAGTATGTTTGCGTGGAAGCATCCATAATCAACCAATTTTTAATATTGTAATAATCATTGTCCTTAAGAATAGCATCCAGTTGGAGCATAAGTGGCTGGATTTCTTGAATCACTGACTTTATAACACTAGCCTTTGCTCCAGACATATCCTTCGCTATTTTCCTCTCGATTTTGTTGAACATGTCTTCATAAGATGTATTTAAGTCTTCAACATCAATCACCTTCTGAGTTGGCAAAGAGAATAGCTCATTATCGTCAGCCGAAGTATTTTCAACGCTTTTATTAACGACCAACTCGATTTCCTTGCTTTGAAATATCTCGTTAGATTTATTATTATCGGCATTGCGACAATCGTTTGGTTCGAAAACGCTGTACTCAGATTGGGTCATGTTATCTCCTATCAATTGTGGAACTTGCTTCTCCCAGAAGGTTTCCATATTAGTTAAATGTACATATGGCACTCGCTTAGTAATACTGTTTTTTACTATATTTAAATTCGATTTATCTTTCTCAACAACCGCTACTACTGTATCATCAGCAGTCGTTTCATTTTCATCTACTGTATCGTCCCTCACCACAGTTTCAGTCCTACTTAAATTTTGTTTTAATTTAACAACATCAGATACAGAAGCCTCTGCCGCCTTGTTACGTGTCTTCATAATCTTCTGTTGCGATTTCTGAACCTTCAACTTCTTGAGCGGCGGAGATTTTTTCTTGCTGCTTCTATTTAAAGTTTTCAACCTCTTCCAACCGGAAGTAAACTCTTTATTCAAGTTATCCAGACATTCATCCTCCATCTTCTGCATTAGATGGATCAATTTAACTTTATCTTTTGAACGCAAATCAGCGTTACCGGTGCTCCTCCGCTTCAGCGTAGATTTAGTTTTCTTAACAGATTCTTGCTCATTAAATGATTTGCACCTCCTCATTAACTTCTCCTTAGCATCTCTCTTAACTTTTCTCTTTTTGTGCGACTCAGATATAAAATCACCACTGCTATCAGAATTCATAGTGGTCTGTGTCAATCTATCAAAATCATTTTTGTTATCCGTAAGCCATTTGATTATGTCTTCACGACTTTGACTGTTTTGAAAGCTGTGTTGTTCATCAGCAATTTCTTGGTGCTCATTTCTATTTACTCTTGTATTATTTTTGTATGTTTTCAGAGCTGGTCTGTTATTGGCAATCACATCAAATGGCTCTACAATATTGTCTTGTTGCTTATCCTCCAAGAATTCTGTGTAATCTACTACTAGTTTAGCGAGCAAATTATCATAGGATTGAAATTCCTTAATCAATTTATTCTCAATGGAGTTGATGAATTTGACAGTTGATTCAGATGATTGATGTGGTGTCTTCTTTCTCTTATTCATTACAACCTTGCACATAGGACATACAGCTTTGTTACCTGGCACAGTGGAGCTGACAATGCAGTCAAAGCAGGCTGAGCAATATATGTGCGAACAATTGGACACAACTGGCTTTGACAATATCTTGAAGCTACAACAAAAATGATTAAGACACTTCACCTGTGAAACAATACAGGATAGATCTTACCATTTTGGACACTTCACTTGCTCCCTGAGCTCGTTCACCTTCATCAAAGTGAAAATAAACAATTCAATATCTTTTTCCGCGCCACTCATTTTTATTGCAATTGTTTCAAACTTCAAACGTCAAGACTTTGACATCTGGATCAATTTCAAGCATAGTTGTCAGATACACTTCTTCAAATCTAATTGTTTAAATTAAAGAATTAACACATCATTGGAATACAAATAATTCCTGTTTATATTCAGGATAATTTGAGGTTATCCACAAGTAAATATTATTTCAAGGATATTTAAATTTGAAAATGGCAACGTTGTAATACGGCTAATTTCGTGCGACTGAAAAACTATTGTCAAGTTGCAAGTTATCTGGTGGGGATTATTAGTGAACAAGACTTTTAAAATAAAGTGCAATAAGTATGTATATTCGCTTTAAATTAATAGTGACAATACTTTATTTACCTACAAAATTAATGTATTTGAAATAACATCATTGGATCTTTAACCATGAATACCTAAAAATATGTTGCAAACTTTACCATCCATAATTATTGATTTCCTTTTGTTATTTTCATGACGCACTTAAGATTTGTTTATCTTTATTCTTATGTTTTCGCTAAAACAACATTGACGCCTGCTTGTTATGACAAACATTTATTTTATTTATTTTTTTTCATTTCAGAAATGGATGAGGATGATCATGATGAACTATTGCAATGCTCTGATGAGGAGTCAATGTCTGAAAGTGGTGATGATCAGTGCATACCAATTGATAAACCTGAGAATGTGCAAGTGCAGACAAGCATTTACACATTGCACACCAAAACTGAGTTTATCCTCATCAAGTTTACACTGATATTAACAGCCACAGCTTTATTGATTCTATTGCCATTGTTTCAAGAGTCCATCAATATTAAAGGGAGTGCTTTCTTGATCTTGAACTTTACTTCAATTTTTGTCATGCTTATTTTGCTGGTTATCACAATTCTCTGTAGGAGATTCTGCAAAGATTTTGAGTCCATTAATGTAGCTAAGACTCCTTTGAAAGTGAGAGAGCTTGTGGCAACAAGCCTGATTTATGTTTCCAGTGGATTCATAATTATATATGCTGTGGATAGGAAGAAGGTGATGTGCCATTTGCAAGATCCCATTAAGGGACTTGTTTTGGTCTTCTCTTTGATTTACTACTTTTTCTTCTGCAAGAAATGTAAGGTTTTTCAATTTTCTCAATTTTTTTGCTAAATGTTGTACTTTTAGTGATGGGTTTGCAACGCATTTTCTCTACCACCACTATAATAGTTGGGCTTTTCATCTCCGTTGATTATGGCTTGTGTGATGAGTTTAGATGTAGAGGCAATGATAGGGAGCACAAGTCAGATGATGCAGGCTTTTGGAAGTGGCAAATCCACTCCATATGGGCAGGGATTTACATCGTCGGATTGGCTCTGTTCTCCGCTTTCTACATGCTTCTGGATAGATACCTAATCTGCTCAGCTATTGTAACGAAATAATCTTGCAAGAATTCCTTATAAAATATGTTTTTATTATAGGTGTCACCTTATGCGAGTCTTTCATCGCAACTACTAACGACAGTATCGAGATTGGTTTCGTTTCAGAGTGTAAACACGATTCCGCTTTCCTCTCAGACGAGGTCTTTGACGACAACTCGAATGAATAGAAAGGTTTACTCAGCTGTGCACCTCTCGTTTTGGTTACATGGTTTCACTTTCGCCTTCACCGTCTTATTTTTCTGGATTGACATGTTACCTAATGTCGGAAAGGTAAGTCAATGCTTTCTTGTATTTTGCTTTGAAACAATCTCTAATGTTTATTACTAGAGTGATAACATAGTGGACTTCCTCATTCACACCAACAACGGTTTAAAATGCATCTTCAATCCGAACTTGAACCACACAAGTGATTGTGGAAACACCTCCCTCTACGCTTGGCTATTCCTATTAGCCTATTTGGGATATTTCTTGTCCTCAATAAGGTTCCTCATATTGTCTCAAAGCGCTGTTTACACAATAGCCACCACTTCAGTAGCTTTGCCGATGGTCGGTATCTGGTGGTCGTTGTTCAAGATGTGCACAGTTAAGAAAGGTTTGTTTGCAAGGGTAATCGATACTAGAAATTTCAGAGTGTTCTTTCAGGTCTGCTCATTTGGGCGCCGACCCTTTCGGGAGAGCTGATCTGCGCCCTACTCGGATTACCGATAGTCTTGATCGGATTGGCGCTCCTATGCAAATCTCACTTCAAGGATTGCCACTTATCGCGCATCAGCAGCAGCACTTGCTCCGTTTCCACCGCTCACCTAGCTTGAATCTCTACTTAATCTCTTCTCTTGACAAACAACGTGACTTCCATATTGATGCCAACCTTTAATTTATTACTTCTTACTATTATTGAGGATTATCTAAGATATGATTATTCGTAGGTTAATCAAAAAATTAACTTAATGTAAAAGCGCTGTGCTTGTTCGTTCTCTTGCTCATGTAAAACAGAATCGGGAATACTGTGTTCCGTCGGTATATATTTTTTTATGTTACAGGAAGACTGAAATTTTGTGCCAAAAGTAATCAAAATATTATAAAAAAAAAAGAAGTAAGAATATATGAACTACACTCGAATGTGTGTCAATTAGGTTTCGTGTCTCTTTGGGAATCGTGACCTGCGGGAATTTGGAAGTTAACAAACATCAAATCGGGTTTCTCTCATCAAAGCAAGCAGAAATGAGAATTTGTTTTTCTTTCAGCATAAAATGTATATACGTTTAGCAGAATGTCGGATGTGCGAGATGCCTAAGTTTTCGTTCCTAGCCCGTCCAGGTCGTAGATATATTTTTCTGTGCGCGGATTGTATTTTGTCTAAGGTATATACATTACATATGGTACAAATGTTGGTTACATATTGCGGACGCACGTAAATAATTGTTGAATAATTGATATAAATGTATTTATTTATATATATATACTTCAAGAGGAAAGATGACGCAAAGCAAGCAAACACGTGAGTTGCAAGTCGAAGTGAGAAAATTTAAAAATAAAAAATCAATAATTGTTTCTAGTCATGAATCTGTAGAGGAATATCTGAAAGCTCGGTTTACCCGTTGCAGAAACAATATTTACATTTTGGATGTGCTAAATGTTGTAACGCGTAAACTAAACTCGAAGATACGATTTGCAATTCGCTTCTAATTTTAGTATTTGTGTAGTCAATAGTTTTTAACAACCCTGATCTTATCCATACGGTAAATTTGCAATGGAAAAAAAAAATGAAATCAAAAAGGTATTTTTATTTATTATCTTTTTACAAAGAACTGAAGTAAATTTTGGAAAATTAATTGTTACGTTACAAAAGTTGTTGTTTCCATTTTATATTTATAACTAATCTATCGACTGTTAATAGTAAGTTTTATGTTTAAATTTTATTTTATCATTATTAAACAAGTGTAAAAATAAATGAATCAGGGTTTTTGATATATTCTAACTAAATATACATATATGAAAGGATATATTTCAAATATTATAAAGTATAAACTATATGCCATTTATTATTACGCTGTGGAATTGTATACAGTTGTTGCTCAATATATAAATTGTGATGAATTATTGTTTTCTTTACAAATTTACCTATTATATCTCATTCATAAAAGTATACTTTCGGTTATTACATTCCAAAATAATTATTTAAAATACTTATAGAACTAAGAATGATATTATTTGTTAAATACGAATTATATAACATTTATATGTTTGAGTTCCATCAGGGACGCAAAAGAATCCTCCCCGGCGGGGAATCGAACCCCGGTCTCCCGCGTGACAGGCGGGGATACTGACCACTATACTACCGAGGACTCTTATACTTCATTACAAATTATGAAGTTTCTCATACTAAGTTATATAACTAATATCAAATTTAAGTCTACAAATAATGTTATTCAACAATTTATAATACTCACCAAATAACTTGTCAAGTAACGTGTACTGTTTACGAAATTTGTCTCTTCTATCATAAGCGTTTCTTTTTTTGAAACTGAATACTTCAACACAAATAGAATTTAGTATACATATTTAATTATTATCTAATAATTTTCACCAAAACGAAATTTATTTTCATTTATTCAAACTTTCAGTTAAGTTATGTTTTAAACGAATTATGTTTAAATAAGGGTGGAAAACATGGGAGATAATAAATGTAAATCATTAAAATACTTTAAATTGATACATATGTAATGAATCTTAGACACTACATGCTTTCAATAGTACTAATTCTAAGTTTAGTGTTTATGGAAAATGAGTTCTAAATTTATGAACGATTATAATGTTTTGATTAAGAACGTAATTTTTGATTCAATACAAAAAGTTTAGGTTTATGTAATATTCTTATTTCCATTATATAAGTAAATTTTATGGTCGCCTGTATCACAAAAATCTGATACGAAAGGTCGTTGGTTCAATTCCGAAAATCAACAAAAATGTGTGGTGGCTGTTAAACCCGAAAGGGGTAGAAATAGGGCCGGAGAGATTTATATCAATAAATAAATTGATATAAACCTCTTCTTTTTTTTTAAAAAAAGTAAATTTTACTTTACTTTTTTTTAAGCACGTTACTTAATAATTTTATGTATGCAATACTGATTTTATGAGTAGTAATACATATTTGTATCAATTTCGTCAAGTAATTTGTATAAGTACTTGGCAAGTATTGTGATTAAGAAGTTGCCTATGTATTATTTACTTTTCATTATCGTTTGTTTTGAGTAAAATAGTTTTTTTCTTCTATAAAATCCACGTACTGTTTCATTTACTAATTTTAAATTATTCCCTCCATTTTATAATAATAACGTGTTACGTAACCAAATATTACAATAAGGTGAAATTAGAAAAAGTATATGACAAGTATTGTGCTTATGAAGTTGCCTATGCTATCTTTTATTATATTGTGATTCTGCACTTCTTAAAGACTTTTGCTGCCTTTTTTTATATGAATATCGAACTCAATGTGGTAAGTCAGATTTAGTGATATGTGTATTTGATTACAAATTTCTTACTTTTAAATTTGGTAACTGTCAATTGATGATCAATTGTTTTGAGTGAAGTTGGCTTATGAACTATAAAGTAAACAAATGCGTATGCTTGTTTGGATTATGTGGTTTATTTACTTTTGTATTTCTGTGTGCCCATCGGAAAGCTGGGTAAATAAAGTGGAAAGGGGGAGGATGCAAAAAGGTCTTTAAACAAATAACAAATCGGAGGATTGCGTCCCCCCATGTGTTTTTGACAGGCCAGGACGGCGTTTCCGCTTTGCGGTGGGAGGAGCGACGTCCGCCGTCGGGTGGCGCCCCCGCGCGGCGCCGACGTCAACCCCCCGTGTCCAGCTGGTGCGCACGCGCATTCCTTTCGGGTGCGAACCAGCGTATGTACGTGATCTCGCCCTACGTGCATACAGAGTGTTTTGTTTTGTGTATATTAACCTGTACAAAGTGTTCTAGTCTAATGGATCGGTGCACGGATTGCTTCGACATCCCGTGGACCTAGAGGAAGCGGAGCCCTGGCCCCAGGTGAGGTTCTGTCCTGGCACTTCGGTGTACACTCCGTCCTTGGGGTACGCACAGTTTGGGGTGCCCGTCTGCCTCCTTATCAGGAACCCTGCGGACCCTTCGGTCTCTCTCTCCCACGCGCTCTTCCCTTAACGGAGGCCCCCTTTTCATCTGAAACAGAAACCCTAACAAAAAAAAAATATGTATCTTTAACCGCAAAACGAGTCTCGTCGAAGGCCCCCCAAAAACCAAAAGCACTAGGCGAGAGAACGTACAGAAAAAAAAGACAGACACAAAATGTAAGACACAGACAGACTCAAGCCAACTAGGATGCGTTTCCATTGCCTCCACATTCGCTGCATACACACGTATATAACATAGTGTTGCTGCATTTACCAAACGAACTTTGGATTGTTCGAAATTAAATAAGCAACAACTGAAAAAACGCTTTTGTTCAATTATTTTGAAAAGTCCGGAAGTACTAGACCCACATAATAATCGATATACCCTTAAAAAAAAACCTATAGAAATTATACACGATTAGAAATGTACAAAGAACACACCCAAAAACTTGTCCCTTTTTGTTTCTGGTACTATCCTATGTGCTGCTGTATACAAAGTATTGGACATAGACGAGAATTATCTGGCTAAATTGGCCTCAATTGCTAGGTTTTCATAAAATGAAACCCTAAACTGTAAAGCAATTTATCACAACTCTATTCTATTTCGTTTTATAAACAGATAATTTGTCTCTCGTTGTTATTTATCATACTTCCATTTTTCAGAGCTTTGTACACGTGTACAGATCGTTATTAACCCATTGAATATCTATTTTTGGTAAAGTAAGAAATTATTTTTAATTTCCGTCAGTAACTATATTGTAATTATGATTTTATTTTTAAATTTCATAATTTATTTCTCAAATATGTTAATTTGCAACTTAAATAATAACTACCAAGTATTCAAATAACTTCTAAAATTTTTGTAATTAAAATATTAACATTTGCACATTAATAACAATAAAAATGTTTCAATGAAAAATCATTATTAAAAATGTAAATGAATAATTGAAATTATTTATATGTATTTGTTTTATGTTACTATTGCAATAAACGTTAATATTATTATATAAATATAATTTAAAAAAAAAATCAAATTTAACATATTTTTACATTTTCGGGTGTCTTTATTTTTTGTTTCATGTAAGTTTGTACCTAGTTAAATTATGAAACTAAATTGTCTTGAATTGGTAGGTTTTCATAAGTTGAATAATTTTATAATTTATAAAGAATATTTTCATTTTGTTAGTAAAAGTTTTAAATTAAATTATTAAGAATTGTAACGATTGCTATATTTACTTTATGTAAATATGATAATAACAATTTTGTATTAATCAAATCGAAATAAGCTCATTTTTAAAACTAAAATTTATTGTTCACAATAATTTACTGCAAACATAAAATAAATGTGACAATAAATAATAGATTTGCAGAATATTGCGGTTGATGTGTAATTGGGAAACCTTTTAATAAATAATATGCATTATTTAGACAAATTGTCTAAACAAATGTAAATTTATTGAACTAAAATATATTAAGAAACTATGTGAATATCATATAAGAAATTAAGTTTTCTTTATTATAATTTTTTAAGTAATAGAAATTAAATATTTATATAACAAAAAAAAAGTAACGAAAAACATAAATATTTATTAGGAATCAATAATTATTATTGATTTTAAAATAATAGTGAGATTGTGAGCGTCAAGTTTAAATAAATATTTTCAACATTGACCTCAATTTATATTGCGAAACTTTTATGCACAAGAATGAATGATTTTTAACATTACTTAATTTGAAGAATAATAAAATAATAAATTATTTTTAAATCTGATAATTCAAGTCTTCTAATTAAACAAATATTTGATGTATTTCATTAATTGTTTATTAAATCCAATTTGGATAAATGCTGTAAACATATTTGTTGCTATTAATGTTTTCAATTACTGTTAGTTTTTGTGTATACAGTGGAACCTCGCTTAACGAGTTTAATCCGTTCCAAAATTTTCTGATTTTTACTCGTATTGTGAAACGTATTCAAAAATACTCATAATATGTGTACACACTCGTTATGTGAAACATCGCTCGTTAAGCGAGTCATTTTTTCTAACAATTCATTTTGTTCGTTAAGCGAGGTTCCACTGTATTTACTTATGGAATTATAAAATGTTTTCTGCATAGGCACTTCTCCCTTGATTTGCATAATTGAACCAAAAAATATATTTTTTTGTAGTGGTGATTATGATTAATGAATAAAATATGTAAAAAATTGCGTTATTCCTTGTGGGAATTACTTCCTGGCTGAAATTAATTTAAATTTGCAAATTAGAAATGCTAATGTGAAATAAAATACGTTTATATGCGTCCCACTCGTTAAGTTATTAGTATGTGCACACATAAATTTTCGAAAAAAAATGAGGTTGCACATAAAAATGTTATAAAGAAAAATTAGTAAAAACTAAATTTCTTTAGAGAAAAATTTAAATTTTTTGAGATTAATTAACTATTATTTATTCTATATATAAAACAAATACTAATAGTATATACATAAAAAAATATCTTTCTATACCAAATACAGCAATACCTCTCATAGTGCGGGTAATCGGTTTGAAACCGGATTAATCGAGGAATTTAAAAACGCGTAATAATAAACTGCACAAATATATACTTGACTAAAAATATATACAAAAATAATTTTTCGTACGATTTTTTTAGAATTTATTTGAATGTTGCTGAATTAAAATCTAGTTCGTTTAAAAAAAAAATCAAACCGGACTATAGAGAATCCGGATTGATCGAAACTATATTATGTGTTGTTTTAGATATTTGTTTGAAGAGTATTGTTGTACATAGATTACGAATTTAATATAAATAACATGTTCATAATAAACATATTTTTTGATATTCAATTAAGTTGATATGTAATGTTTACTTTGTTAATATAATTTGAACAATACTATAACTATTGATATCTTTAAACCATACTTTTTTACATCTGCATGTAACGAACGGCACTATTGATTTTCTCTTGCATGCTCTTTTTTTTATCATTGCGTGCAGTTTATACCACGTCCTTTTGATATGCGCTCGCTCCATCTTTTATGTGCTGTCAATTGGTATTAACCACTGCAGTTAATAAGCTATCCCGTAATGTTCGTTCATCTAAGGCCACTATTACCACATCCGGTTTCAATTGTGGATGGTCCCCGTTCGCTCTGCAATTCCGATAATAAATCTGTATCGAATTTCACACGAACTGCCCATACCTTGTGCTAACTTCACTAATCAGTAACACTTATTGGACAGTACTCAGTCAGTCACTACTTTATCAATCAATAACCACTGAAATATGCATATAACCGAATACAGCAATATCTCGCCTAGTATGGGTAATAGTTTTCCACCAATATCTATTTGAAACCGGACTAATCGAGGAACTAAATTGATACAAAGATAAATCGCAGACTTGATCATTTTGTCTACTATTATTTTTGCTGAAATAAAGTTTTAGCTTGTTTTGAAATTTTCAAACTCGTGAACTGGTCTAAACCGCACTATGCATAACATTTCCTTTTTTTTTTGGTTTTGCATGGAACTGACGGGGAAGATGTTAATAATATTAGAAAATGACATGGGTTTAATTTTTTTGTATGCTCGTATAATTTATTTTCCTCTCTTCTGTAAAACCCACGTCCTGTTGCGAATTTCACATCTATTTTCTTTCCCTCCATTTTGCAATAACACCGCGTTACGTAACAGAACATTTTCGAAGTACGGATTTTCTCCTCGTGAAATGGAATTATTATACTGCAGATGCCAGGCTTTGACTTGACCATCGTGATGATATAAAGATCTTTGCCAACAAGATCAAAAAAATATAATTTTTGGATTTTTATTAAAAAAAACTACAGTCCTTTACATATTAGTCCTTGACAAGTTATTGACTACAGTCCTTTGTATACGCATTGGTTTTTTTTTTTAAATTAAAATATTGCGTTTTTGTTTTCTAGTAAGTGTTAAAAATGATTATGTAAAAATTACTGAATATTATTGTTGTGAAATAATCAACTTTTGTTAATAACATTGCATTTGTTGGATAAATAAACACATTAATTACGTTCATGATTGATCGTTAAAATCACCACCGAAATTGCTCTCCCTCATCAAAGGTGCAATTGAGTGGAACTATCAATCGATGAGTCATGTAACGTAATTTAACCTTGTCCGTTTTTGCTTGTATTCTTCTGCACTTTTTCCCATTATTATTTGTACATTTTTTACGAACATTTTTTTTAAAATTTTGTAACTAAAATTATATATTATATATAAGTCACAAACCAAAGGACGTGAGTGAACAAAGTACATACAATGATGATAAAAGCCATGGGAGATAATACATTTATTAAAACCAGAGAAAATCAATACTGGCGTTAGCATACATCAAAAGACATGCATTCATATGCGTATTATACCGCAGTTACTCAAACTATTGTGTTTCGACAGATTGTTTATAATTTTAACGAAATTAATTGTCAATATTGACGTGTATTTTGTATATACGTAAGTAAACATTTAAAACATATTTTCTAATAAATAATAATTATAAATTTTATAATTTATTAATCTTTTCGACAAAATTGATCCAATTCAAATCATTTAAATATATTGAAAATGACTTGCAATCTAATTATAAACAAATTCGATTGCGTTGAATTTATTTGCATATTATTTTTTATTACTAAATTGGTTGTTTTACAAAACTTGCATTTTTTTCAATAGTAATTCAACTATATTGAAAGTCACGATTTCGTACTTACAACTGGATATTTTTATATCAATGTCATATGTTTGAACTGATTGTAAATTGACTATTAAATAAGAAATGTGTACGTAAGTTTGAACATAACTTTCCCTATTTACTTTCGGTATTATCAGAAAAAAATGTTTTTTTTCAAATTTTATATTTATTTCATTGATTCACCTAAATTCATTAGTTCTCTTTACATTTCCATTTTGTTTATATCACTTGAATAATTGCTAAATTGTTTGTTTTACATAACTTGCATTTTTTCAATAATAATTCAACTAAATTGAAAGTCACGATTTCGTACTTACAACTGGATATTTTTGTATCAATGTCATATATTTGAACTGATTGTAAATTGACTATTAAATAAGAAATTTGTGCGTAAGTTTGAACATAACTTTTGGTATTTACATTAGATATTAATATTTATGGTTTTTTTTTTAATATTTTTAGATAATACTTTTATCCAATTTTATATTGATTTCATTGATTTTCTTTACTTCTCTCAATTATCTAAATTCATTTTATCTCTTTACATTTCCATTTTGTTTGTATCACTTGACACAATTATAATTGACACACTATAAAATATTTATAATAAATTGCTTGTTTTTAAAAATTTGATTAACTAAATAAAATTATATGAAACATAAAAAATTACGTTAAAACAATTATTGTAACAAATCATACTACATAATCACAAAAAAAATAACGTTATATAACAAGAAAATAAAAAAAAAACAAATTAATCTGCTACAAAGGGCTATTGACCATAGGTCATAATTACGTAATTTTTCCATAAAATATGAAGAGAAAAAAGAAAATTATTTCCTTTTTTTATTTTTACTTTAATTTATATATTATTGAAATGAATGATGTAAAATTTATGTATGTTAATTAAGCAACCTTAATTTGAATTATAAGGGTCTTATTTTGCATTTGGAATTGCGACGGCCGAGGCTTAAATTGCATCAATTTTCTGAAGAAAAAAAATGTTACTCGACCCATAATTAGAGCGTATAGCAATTAGAGCCCATCTGGCATTTACCAGAAGCTCCAGATGGTCCATACTTGACAGTTTTTGGTCATTCGATAATAGCCTCGGTGGAAAGGTTCATACTTAATTTGTAAAACTATTTATTGGTTTTCTTGCAATTGTGTCATAAAATGTGTTCTTCAAACGTATTGAATTTCCATAATGGATATTATGCAAAAGAGAAAAATATTGCTTTTTCTCATTTGCTCACCTTTGTTCCTGTGATGATTTTCTAAAATATCGTACTTTCTTTTAGAGAGAGAGAGAAAGGTGGGTCGAGTCGTCGAACCACAATGAAAAGGTCTCAACATAAGTAAGTTATACATTGCACAAATTCTTTTCATTTCTCATTTAATAAAAAAAACACAATATTTCAATGTTTATGCCTGAAAATTGGATTTATCAATTACGTATAATTAATTACTTTTTTTTTAAATTTAAATTACGAACATGGATTTGTACTAACTCGATCATAAAATATAAAAATAAACATTTCCATTATATGAAAATCCCGAGAGTTTATTTTTCGCATAATTTTATTATTAATGTATAAATTTATGAACGGCTCGAGGCCATTGTGCCCCGTGTTTCCATATTGTTTGCAACGCGAAATGAAAAATGGAATTAACGTGTTCCAATAATGGCACACGACGTCGCTGCTCCTCCGCGTGATATTAATAATATCCGATGCAGTTTCATTTGCATTAAACACGAATCGATGGTCTGGCAAACAATGCCCGTCCCTTCAAAATTCCAACCATCGAAGATGTTTACCGTTTTCCATAATCCATGCATGAATATTGTTATTTTCCAAAGAGACAATTTCTTAATCAAAAAATATATTGTAAAATAAATCTATTGAGATACGCAGCTTCGAATCATTTCATATACTACTGTTAATTGTACAAATTCGAGTATAATTCGCAGAATTTGTATTCATTTTCGTTAGCTCTTGAAAATTAACGAATTTTACTCGATTGGTATAAAAATCCATAGATTTATATGAATCTCAATATCAAAATGATAATAAGTTGTAAGAGTTTTGTGTACAACCAACAAATATTTATTACAATTTCTTTTTTGAAAAAATTGAATGATTGGGACATTTATAACGAAACTAGCTTTATATGAATCTCGATGTAATCCACATTTTTTATCAAAATGATGCTAATTTGTAAGTTTCCTGTACAAATATTTATTACAATTTCTTTTTTTAAATAATTGATCATTATTGGGTCGTTTATTACGAAAATTCACTGTTCATCAACTATGCAGGGTATAGTCAGCCAATAGCGGAATGTTTGAAGCCGCACTAATCGAGGACTTTAAAACGTATACAAATAAACTGCATTAAAAGAGACATGAATGAATAAAGCGATAATTTATTTACAAAAAAAGAAATTTGTGTATTTTTTTTTTATCACTTTTAAATTTTGATTAAATGTTTCGAAATTTGCAAACCGGACTCATCGTAGACGTAGTATGCGAGGTATTTAAGTAATCTAGTGGCAATGATTAACAGCCACATTTCTTATTATTTGTATTTTTTTTATTTAAAAAAAATCGTTTTGCAAAAATTATGCAAATATTAAAAATCTGGGTGCGTATTATATACGAATTTTAATTTTATAAGATACTTTCACCCTATATTAAACATGTCTATTGTACACTAGCAACGTATGTGAAATTTCCTAATCTGAACTGTAATAAATCATTAGTTTTAAATTTACTCGAACTATATAAAAAAATATTGAACTTATGTGTCGTGCAAATTTTAATTTGTTAAGATTTTTTTAAATTAAACATGCGTATTATATACGAATTCGAATAATACTCAAGATTTTTACTGTACTTAAATTTATTTAACGTTTTATGCAATTTCAATTTAAATCTTGGAAGTTGTGGTTGCGTATTATATACGAATTTAATTTTTAAGATACTTTCGCCCTATGTTAATCTGAATTTCCAAATCTGAACTTTAATAAATCATTATTTTAAAATTTACTTCAACTATATAAAAAAATATTGGAAGTTATGGGTCGTGCGAATTTTAATTTGTTAAGATTTTTTTTTATTAATTAAACGAGTTCGAATTATATTCAAGATTTTTTACTGTTATTTTTAATGTTATTAATCTAAACTATTATAATGATAACAAGTATTAATCGTTATTTGATGTTTTAAATTTGGTTTTAACATAAATATTTTCATTTTAACAACAGAAAAAAAATATGCAATCTTAATTGAACTTCGAATTCCATCTGTCCAATCTGGAATTAAACTTGAACCATATATCTCTTTTCTCCTCGCCTTTTTTTTCTCTCTCTCCTCTTCGTCTCTGTGTGTATGTGTTGTATATATATATATTTATTTCCTCTCGGTCGGTATCTTGTATCTATTTTTAGTCGAACGTAAATGAACCGAGCATAAAAATCTCTCGGCTTTAAAAAAAAATCATTATATATGCGCGCTCGGTAATTGATGAAACCATCTTAAATCCGAAGACCGATGGAAATAGATTCGCTTTTCGCTTGGTTCGAAATAGATTCGGTATTATCGTCGGAGTTACACTTCTTATCACCAATTGAAGATGCCCAGTTATCGTTCTTCCTTATGTGATAACGCACTTCACTATCGTTTTGTGTCGAGTACTTTTGCGGTCTTAGTTTTTTTTTTAATGAACCTTCTTATATATGTCATTCAAAGTCTGTATTGTTTTGTCAGTTAATTCTGATAATTATGTGAACTTGTGTGGTTCTTATCTAGTCCGATGATTAAGCGTTTTATAAAGTTTATTTTAGTTATATTTCAAAGATTTAATTGTTTTTTTTTATTGTTCTTCTTTATTAATACTTAATTAAATTATTTATGCTTTGAGAATTTATATAAGTATTATTACCTGAATTTGAAGCTGGTTTTGAAAAATTGTAAGAGAAAATATTATGAAATTAGAAGACTTCCAAATTGTAGTTTTTAATTATTCTATTCATTAATCGAAGATGATTACTACTTTTTATATCTGTTTTGTGAGATTTCAGTATGAAGTGAATGATTAGTTACAGAACATGTTTATTATACTTAATTTTATATTTTAAAATAGATTAAAGTTTGTAATTCCTTATGAATAGTAAATATAGTCGATAGTTCTTTCGATATATTTTAATTATGTAATTATTGTTGATTGTTGTTGATGAGTAGTAAAAATTTAACTTAATTTAATCAATTTGAATGTGATGGAATATATTGAGGTAAATGTATTGATTATATCATTTAAAGCGTACAAGTAATGGCACAACATTCTTAATTACGTAATTTCATCCTCGTTTTTGTGGATTAATGTGCTGCATCGCACGTTGATTGAAGCTAAGGAACGGAAAAGGCCATGCAAATGACAGCTGTCGAAGTAAACGTATCCGAAGTTCTGGCTTTGAGAATTTAATTAATAATTGCGAGAGAAGTTTTTTTTTTGCATCCCTTCCCTTCTTTTCCCATATACATAAAAAAACGTGTATAAATTTAAAATTTTAATTAAAAATTCCTTGTATTTTATTTTGTACATAATTTTTTTTTGTTGATGGCATTTTTCGTCCTCCACTCGCTTTGTCCTTTTATTGTTTTCTGGTGTTATTGTGTCCTCCCTCCTGCGTATTTTCGAAATAAAAACAAACGGGAGATAGGTGACAAATTCGGTTGGGCGAGGTGAGGACGGGCATGTCATGGATTTGTTTCTGGTTGTCGGATTTCCTTCAAAATCGATAACGACGAGGGGGAGAGAGAGAGATATGCACGGATGGTGCGTGCTAGAAAAAGAGAGATGGTAGATGGCCCTTCCGTGTATTTCGCGCCCTGAACTTGTCATCCCCCGTTGAAATTTCAGCTTGATGTATTTGCAGTTGGCGTTTGGAAAAATAAAAGGGAAAAACAAGATCAACCCTCGTCGAGTGAAATATGGTCAAAAGCAAATATGTGTATACTATATCACAGATATGATATTACTCTTCGCTATTACGAAATGTCTTAAACGTATGCGCTTCGTGGTGCAACGAGGATCCGTTAGTTGGTCTACTAATATATCTTTTTCTCGCTTTCTCTCTCTTTACCTCCACTCAGAGTCCTAGACAAAATAACAAGGTCAAAACACTCTCGACGATGCATGTTTGTACACAAACATTCGCTCATACCTCGCCAGCTTTGTGCAACGTAAAAAAAGTCCCATTTTCTACCTGCATACTACCTCCTCCTTGAAGACGACCTCCATAAAACGTTCTTTTTTTTTGAAACCAGACTTTACCAACAGCAGAAAATAACATTCTTTCACCAAACATCCATAAAAACCAATGCAACCAACACAACTTAATACTTAATTACAATTAACTACAAAAGGTATAAATTCAATAGATAGAAAAAATATTTCATCTTGTAACAAACAATTTCCAGTTTTTCTTTTCTTTCAATAACATTGAATTAATGTCAATTTCTTGGAATATGTTTCGAAGCTGAGAAATGAGGAACTTCTTATTAGGTAATAACATGAATTCTATACAATATCCAATGAATTGCGTTACATTGATTTGGGTGCAATTCATGCTTGCAAGGACATACATTAATTGCGTTTTTTTTTGTTCTATAAATCGAACCACTAAAAATAAAACGTTTAATGGAATAACGAAAACAACACTAAAAATCTTGTAATTGTTATTTCAAATTTAATTGTATTGTTTTTTATAATTTATCTTATATAATTTATAAGATATACGACAATTAAAATATTATGTTGCATCTTCTTAATTTTGACATTTGACAGAAGTCATAAACCCGATGTCCGAGAAATTTAACCTAGGAACTGTATAGAATTATATGTATGTTGTAATAGGTACGCCTGACAAACATTTATGTGTTTTGTCACGCATAGTGCCTATGCAGCATTAAATATACATTACTCTGAGCGCTTAAATTTTATAAATAAAAATAAACGCAGAAACGTACTTTGTCTTTATGTAATAAATCATTTTACGTTTTCAATGTTAACATTATGCTTAAATATTTCTGTAAAAAAAGTCAAGAATTATTTCTGAATTATCTAATTAATCAATGTTACATTAGTATTAAGTTTGACACTGACAGATTTCTTAGTGACATATCTGTCAATTAGATGTACCAAATATGATACATCTTAATAGTTGACAGTTGAAACGTCAGTTTGACAGTTGTTGTCAAAAATGGTTTCTTTATTGAATTTTAGAGAATATTGTACATAATACATGTTTTAAACTAGAAAATTGGAGGAGTGGAGTAACCTCTATTTTCGTATTGATTTTTCCGTCGGGACTGAAGTTTATTGCTTATAATAACACGGATTTATGATTCTTTTCGATAAAACGCTCTGTTTCAGTTTCATATCGTTTCGGCATATTGTAAATAACGAAGATGGATTTGTCCATGTTTGGGGAACGTATCCAAAGAGTGTTCTTCCACCTTATAGGTCAGCGCGGATCGTAGTGTCATCGCGTGCCGCTAAAGAATTTAAACCCTCATTTCCATGGTTTCTCTCCATTGGTATAGAAAATGCAAACCACTGTAGTCTCTTCCATGGATAAGATAAATACATATACCTTCAGGGAAACTTCTTTTTGTGTAAACGTTACCTGTTATTTCTCGTTAAGGTATCCCGCTTAATACAGGTAGAAAAAAAATATATAAAGGACGTAATAGTATTTTCCTACAAAACAGTTAAAGGATTTTAAAGAATTTATCCAACTGGTACCAAACATGAATACCACAATGACGATTGAAGGTTATTTTTCATTTCTATTTTAGAAAAAAAATGGTCTAAAGACCAATACACTCGATATTTGCCAATTTGATGATTTTAAATGTTTCGTTTTCTGCTTAGTTTTCACTTTTTCGCGTGCTAAATTGCGTGGAAACTGTTTCCGCTGGGTCGCGAATAAAATGCAGCCGGATTATTTGATTTCATCAAAAGGAATTACGGTCACATAATAATTCAATTAAAATGAACTGCGCTGTTTCGTGGCGATACAAAAGCCCACACGAAAACGATCCGACATTTGCATACATGATGTGCATTATATATGCCCGTGTGTGTATGTAGAAAGTCGAAAAAGCATTGATTCCGGAGAGTTCTCTTCGCGAAATCCGATTTGAATGAACGTTTATGAATCGATTGTTCATTGTGAACGCAGGGACTTCGCCCTCTTTGTTTGCATTAATTTCGGTTTTCAATAGTCAATTATTGAATTCCATTTTTTTTTTGCTTTGAGGATGGAGATGATTCATATTTATTGACTGTATTACTTGGAAAATGAAATCTTACCGATTATTAGTTAGTGATTTTTTTTTTGTCGATATTTTCAATAAGCAGTTTCTTTTTTGTTTGTTTTATATTATCTTAAAACTTAGAGATTTAACTGTGGATGCTTTTCCAATTGGTCACTTGAATGCTTGACTCGATGTTGAAATTTAAAAAATGATACAAATCCTTATTAAAATTGTATAATTGTTTCTTAGAATATTTATAAATTAAAGTTTTAATGCAGAAATTTTCTTCAAAATAAGATGAACTTAACACATTGTAAAGAACGTTTCGTTGTCTTATGACTAGTCTAGCAGTTTTCATCCTAATCGATTTCTTCTAGAACCTTGAGACTGGTCTTCATTGTATTCACGATCTTTTCCGTCTTCAACTTCCTCAACGGCATTTTGGTTATGAACTTTCATAACATCAATATGAGCTCTTAGTTATAGAAAACTATAGTAATTTCATCATTAATCTTCAAATATTATTATGAGACAAGAGTTATATTTTTTATTATTTCAGTAAAATCATCAATTTATCAATTTTTTTGAAAAAAAAAATCATTATCTTCACTAAATTTTTAATTTCAATATAGATACATTTTCTTGTGTTAAGCATGAGTATATTTTCAATTAATATCCTGGACTATTTGAAACCGGACTAATCGAGTATTTTAAGAATGTATAAAAATATTTTTTTTTAAATTTAATTTTCTGAATTAAAATTTAGTTAGTTTTAAAATTTTGAAACCAATCTATAAATCCGGACTGATCGAAGCCGTACTATGCTGTACTAATTATAAATATAATATAAACTTCGTTTGGCAATCATTCTTTTTTACTGTAACATCTATCTTGTTATAAATTTGTAAAAAACTGTTTTAATTTATTTTTTATATTTATATGTTTCTCTTTCATGCCGAATTCTTTAAAAAATATTGTTATTAGGATTATTAATATAGCTTTGGCATGAAGCCAGTCGCAGTTACTAAAGAGACTTCTTCACTATTTAATATTTTTCCATAAAAGAATGTCCGTTTGCGGGGGATGATGCAAAGATCATTTAAATTCAGCTTGTATCTTGTCCAGGAATTGTCATGCCTTGAATTATTCATTTCAATTGGGGTGGAGGACATATCTCGTACAATGTTGTCTATTTATCTAATTGGACGTGAAAGCATTGTATGATTGATCCTTAGAGGATGTTGTTTTGTAATTTATTTAAATTGTAGTTTGTATTTGTTAGTTTTTACCCTCTTCTATGATTTGTGTTTTTGATATTACTATTTCCTTACTTTAAAAAAACTATAGTGATCAATTAAGTTGTCACCTACGCAATTTCTATCCACGTCAGTCATTGCTTAACCTTAATAATAGTCAAGTGACTTATTGTCTCTGCACAAAAATAGTTTATATTTGTAACATATGTAAACTAAATTAATAGATTTTGAGTATCTTACGAACTATTACACATTCTTGTTGTTATTGCGTAACATATAAATTATGGATCTGAAGGATATGATCTTAGTATTGCAAAACCACGAATATCGACAGACCAAATATCGATTCTACGTTTGGAAGCAGCAATGTCGATTCGTTCCTTCGATTGCGCCTCTTACGCAAAGTGAATTTACGTAACATCCGGTTATGAATACAGATGGATTTTGATTTAATATAAATTTATGGGGCCGAGTGCATTAGGCCGAACGTTGCTTGGTTGGCAGCCATTGTTATGCCCAGTGGCACTCCGCTGCCCTTCGCACCGCCACCACCCTCGTCGGCCCTCCGACCTGGAGAACACTGTTATTGCGTAATCCGGATCGATTTTGTTTACCCCCGCCTCCCCCTCATAGAAAAAGTTTAACTATCGCCCGTATTTCATATTTCCAACTAGCAAAAAAAAGCAACAACAATTTCCAATAAAATTTAATGGTTTCCTTGCAGCCTTCGATACGTGGATTAAATGGATGGCATTTTCATTGATTTGAAACCTCGAGCCAGGAAGGTTCTATTCCTAAATTCGCGTTGAGAATTCTATTAAAAGAACTAACTAACCTGTATTTCCTACATGGAGTAGGTATCAAGATTGCCAGACGTAATTACATAACTTTAATTTGTTACGTTCTGAAAATCCGCCCGGTTTAATTAAACCATGTTAGGTAATTAAAACAGGGTGCGTTTTTAGTTCAATTTACTCGTGTATTTGTAAACTTTTAATTATGAAACTAATAACTAATATCGTTTTTATTTTAATTGAAATCATCTTAAAAAAGTAAATTTTCAGCATTTTCATTAATTTAATTAAAAACTTTATCTAAAGAAAAAATAACTTCATTTTCTTCTAATTTTTATTAAGACTTTATAATGAAAATAAAATTTTCCTTCTCAAATTTATATCAGTATTAATTTTTCTTAATTACATTACTTGTATATGATTTTGTTTAAATTATAAAAAGTGTAATTAAAACTGCGTTTTTAATATTATTTTCCACTGGTTTTTAAATTATTAAATAATATAATTATTTGACTTATTTGATCTAATTATTTTTTTTTTTAATTTCAGGGCCTTAACGAATATTGAATTTCAATCTCATGACTGCTCTGTTCATTTGGTGAGTATCAAATTTGAATTTTCCTTGTAACGACCTCAAGACATTTGTTTTCGGATTGTAGTTGTCTTGTATAAGGTCAGATGGAGATAATAATTATAACTATTTTTTTTTGTTCTTGAATGCGTGGCATTGGATTCATTTTTTTTTCTTCGTTCATAATTTGCCCATACATTGAGCGTTTAATTACGCGTTTGATTAATTCTTGTAAATTATCTCCCGAGGAGCAATTAAACTCATTAGTGTTGCATTGAATACGAGAAAAGCGTTATTAACATCGATGTTTAAGGTTTTACAAATTAAGAAAATTGTTACTTATTTTTATTAACTAGTAAATTTGTAAGAATTTTTGAAATTCTGGTTTATTGAAGATCCCAATACCACAGTTTTTTAAAAAATTACGTTTTTTTAAATATATTCTAATAATAAAACTGTATGTTGATCAAAATTACTGGAATATCTTTCTTTTCATAAATAATAAAATTAAAATCCTGGATTGTGGCATTAATAGAATGAATTTTATTGTATATTCTTAAATTTCACGTAAATATTATATTAATGTAATTATTATATTAATAAAATTTATGTACAGATTTCTCTTTATAATCTGAATTCATTAAAAAAAAAATCTCGAAACATACTGAAAAAAACGAAGGATAATTATATGAAAGTTGGAAATGCGGAATTTTACGACTCAGCTAAATATTGTATTCATTATACACACAACTTGCAAAATACGTAGACCGAAACGACGGAAAGTTTTATTTTGGTTCTGGTATATTATAAAAAAAACAGTCCATTAATTCACGTTACAAACGAGCATTTCGCTTAACGAGCGACGTTTCGCATAACGAGTGACGATGAGAAGAGAAGTCTCGGTTTGCGCACTTGATAAATCATTTTTAAAACGTGTGTAAATAATTTTTGTAAATAATTGAAATAAAATTGTTGAAATTCAATGAAACTTAAATGTAAAGTGTTGTGGTGCGAAAATAGTGTAAGAGGAAAAACATTTTCTGAGAGAAAGCGTGTTTTCAAAACAAAAGTTGTTAAAATCTTGCGTTGCAAAGTTGAAATGATTGTTTTCGTGTCCAAAGCGAACTTTGCATATTGGCGCTGCGGATAGGTAAAATTTAAAATAAAAATATATACACATGAAGTCTAGGATGTGTAAAAATAGAGTTCCAATGATTGATGGTCGTGTTGTGTAAAAATTATAGAAAATAGTAGTATATTAAAGCAGGCTACAATAGGACGTCGACCAACGGTCTTTGAGCCCCGTACGATAAACTATTAATCAGCTGAACTCAATATGGTTGAACCAGAATACTTAATTATAGGAAATTTTGGTTGCTTTTATTTTAATAAACTGCATTAGTTTTAACAAAGAATTGAACATTTTAATTGAAAAATAAAAAGTTCTTAGGACTTAAATTTATTATTTTTGATGATAATATGCACCGAACTTCAAAAAATATCACAATTTTATTATTATGATCACTTTTCGAAACACTATTATTGCAACAACCATAAAAATACATATAAAAAAAGTACGAAATAACAAAAAATACTTGTAACAATTGTAAAGACAATAGGTAATAAATTTATTATAAAAGAGATTAAAATTGAATGATTTTGGTTTTCTAATTACAGAAATGCCTCGCATAGTGCGGCTTCAATCACTGCGGATTTATTTTAGTCATCTTTGAAAATTTTAAAACAAATTAAATTAAATAGTACATTTTGATTTAATTAGATGATCGTTTTTGCTGCATTCAAGTAATTAGTAATAATAAGATTATTAATCCGCAATTACTCCTTCAAACAGTCTGGATTATAGGTGAAACCAATCATCCGCACTATACGAGGTGGGAGTATAGTGAAAGCAATTTAGTTAAAATTTTTATTTTCTATTTCTTGTGTCTGAAAAACGATTGTGTAATCCGATCTTGGCTAGTATTTCGTAAGAGATAAAAACCTGTTATCTATTTGTTGGATAATCGTAGTTAGCCTTCTAATGTTGGATGCGACAATCTTTACATATTTTATATCGAAGAGAATATTATATGTTTTAGGCGCTAATGAAATGTAGGAAAGCGATTTTGGAAAAAAGAAATATGCTGTTATATGCTAAGTTTTCCTGTTCTTCACGTTTTTGTCGAGGAAAAACTTATGAAAAACGTAATCATTCATCCTTTTTTCCCTCCGTCTTCGCCTTTCGTACCGTCATCTTTTCGTTCGTGGAGCTCTGGGACGTGTTCAGAGGGGCGTCCCGACGCTCTCTCAAACAAAGGCGTCCTCTTCTGTTCGTTCTCTCTCTCTCGCTCCAACTCATTCCATTTCCGTCCCTCCGCTTCTCTCTTCGTTCCACACGAATCGATTCCTCGGGCAGCCCAAGCGCGTATAAACGTCGGAAAAGGGAATGGAAATTATTCGCTTTTCTCGCGTAGAAATAGCCCGCAATTCTTGATACCATGGTACAATTTTTTTTGTTTTGTCCCTTTTTTATTTTATACTGTACATATTTTTTTTGTTCGCGTCCCTCTGCACTTCTTATTTTGTTTCTTTCCGTGCCCTTTGTTTTATTCGCGCCTTTCGCACCACGACGACGTCTTTTGTGTGCTCGGAATAAGGAAAAGAACGTTTATCTCGCTTTTATGACGAACTATATTAGTATGGTAAAGATCAAAGATGCAATTAGTATTTCGGGAGTTGGCATTTCTAATGAAGAACAATTCCTAGTAATAAATAATAAAGCTTCGATAATTCACGTAAGTGTACATATTAGTGCAGCAATTAATGTAGTAGTTTTAGTGTTTTTTTTAACGAAGTTTACTTAATGAATCCTGCTTTTACCGCAACCTATTTTACCAGGCATTAGGTTATATTTAGTAATACATAAATAGTTCTCCGTGGTAATGGTACTTATTTTACGGTAATTCTGAAATGTAGGAATCTTCTAGTAATGCAATTATCTCTTTGAATTAATGTTATCCATTATTGATAATTAAAATGTATTAGCTGATTTGAATATTCTATTTCTTAGCCATTTAGAATTATATTAAATATTTGAAAAAAATAATCAATTTAGATAGTCTTGATTTATCTTAATTACTTGATCTTTCATAAACAGTGTAAAAAAACAATTTCTACATTGTTCATAGAATTATTTGTAAAAAAAAGTTATTACCAAAAATAAATCATATATAAGTATAAATTATTTAACAAAATAAAAATTATGTATATTAAGCATAAGATTATCAATGATTTCAAAGAATATATAATATATTTTAATTAAGATTCAAATTGTTGAAGACCTTGATTACAAAATTGTTTGATTCTTTCGACTATCGGCGAAGTGTTTCTACTAGTTATAATGATTTTAGTTTTATTTTAAATGAAATAATTTTGTACAAATTTTATGCAATAATTAGAATAACATTAATAATTAATTCATTTTTATTAATTATAAAAAAATCATGCAAATTGATATTAAATAATATTAGTTTATTTGGAAAATAAGTATTGTATGAAACATAAAATTGATTTAAGTTTGTTTAACGTGAGATTAAGTAAGTTAAACTAAGTTTAACTCAATCATGTAATCATCGTGTAAAATTTCTGATTATCCTAACATTAATTTAAACAAGTTATATTTAACATTGAAACTATTTCTTTTTAATTATATAATACATTAGTTTGTATTTTATGTTTTGTTAATAAACGTTCAATGAAATAATTAACAAAAAATTGATGAAAACAGTATTTGTGGTGAATACGGAAACTTAAATATAGTCTGAATTCAATAACGAAACATGCAATACAGTAATTTTAAGAGAAATTATGTAACGAGTTTAACATGCATTAAGTTATATCAAATGATTTAATTAGAAATAATCGACAGTTTGCATTAATTATATTAGTAATATCAAATAGTTCATTACGTTTATTATAATAATTAGTTATATATTTAATTTGATGAGAAGTTAGTAACAATTTGGTGAATTATCATTTCATTTTTAATGGCGAATTAAAGCCAAATGAATGAAACCACAACAAAATTTGAGCACACACTACATTCTCCAAATATTTAAATTTCTTTATCTTATATGGGTCCATTCTATCTATTATTATTTCTGAGAAAATTACTGGAATGTGACGACACTGCTTTTTCGAGCGTTCATTTTGAATAATTTCATTTTTCAAAGTATACATTACAAATGTAAAATTAAAATAGTACCAATTCATTGCTTAACTGACAACTATTATTCCATTCTAATTATCAATTTGTACATCAATTTGTACATTATAATTTAAGAAATTTTAATTTGATGAAACTGTTTAAAATTGAGATCTATACTATTAGTATACAATGATTTGCAGCACTATTCTCTTACATTATTAATATATAGAAATACATTGTGCGATTTGAAAAATTAAAATGGTACTAGTCACCAATTCATTGCTTAACTTTCAACCATTATCATATTCAAAATATCGATTTGAAAATTTGTTAATTTAAAAAATTTGAATTTAAAGCAATTGTTTAAAATTTTGATCTGTACTATTGGCATATAATGATTTGCAGCACTATTCTCTTACATTATTACATAAGAAATGTATGGTGCGATTTGAAAAACTGAAATGGTACTGATCACCAATTCATTGTTTAACTTTCAACCATTATCGTGTTCAAAATATCCATTTGTAAATTTGTTAATTTAAAAAAATTGAATTTAAAGCAATTGTTTAAAATTTAGATTTGTCCTATTGGTATATAATAATTTGCAGTATTATTCTCTTGCATTATTACATAAGTAATGCATGGTGCGATTTGAAAAATTGAATAAGTACTGGTCACCAATTCATGCTTTAACTTTCAACCATTATCATCTTCAAAATATCCATTTGTAAATTGTTAATTTAAAAAATTTGAATTTAAAGCAATTGTTTAAAATTTAGATCTGTACTATTGTTATATAATGATTTGCAGCACTATTCTC